TGATTTTAGGCCTCTGCTGCTGCGCCCTTGTACTTTGAAGAAGTTAGACTGGGGAATTTATTGCTGCAAGACGGTGGTGTGAGTTTTACTTGTAGTTCAAAATTCTGCTATAACGATTGTTTGTCAATTTGTGATTATAGCAATTTATAGGTAATCGCGAATAATCCGACCGCTATCGGAGTTCACGAAGCGAAGCTGCTTTGGCCGCAGGAGCGTTTTCACTGTGTAGTATCAGTTGGAAATGGACGTTCAGTGAGGAGTTTGATTTTTTTTGGAGCAAAAAAAAAGCATTTAGAGAAATTAAGGCATCAGTTATTGTAAAATGTCCATTCCTTCCCTGTCATTAGTATCTTATTTTCGCTGAATTACATTGTTTAGTCAAATACTTTCGATTTCGGTTTACGAGTATATTCTGTTGAACTTAGGTTATCGATATGGATAGAGAGGAAGAAGCGGCTATCCCATCTAGCTTGAGTTCTCTGCAGAAGTTCAATAGGATTGTGGATAGTGCAACGAACACAGAAGCTGTGCACATGTGCATGCATGACTTACTCGACGAAGACGTCTACTATAGGTGTGTTCTTGTTCGCGAAAAGTCCACATCATTGAATCTTGTTTTAGGTTGAATCCTTACATGACATTTCCCTACGGACTTGATGAGATCGACTCCAAAAAGTAAGTAATGCTCATCTCTAGCAAGATCGAAATATTTTTATGGTTTTTTCTAGATTGGAACAAATGCAAAACGATGCGAAGTTGTATGTTCGACGTAATGCCGCGAAAATAGGTGATGCCGCCTCAAGATTGCTGGAGGTTAGTAGATTTGCCTTTCATAATCTGGACAACATTGGGTCTTTTTACTGGAACCTCTTGTGATCTTGCATGTTTTTCCTGTATTTCGTGTTATATTTCTTTAAGATTCTCAAGGTCTAAAACCCCTACCACTTTTTAATGCTTGTTTAGGTGGGGAGGTTTCAGACAAAGCTTGAAAAAAATGCTTATTGAAAGGAGAAGTTTTCACATGACTTAGTATGTACTCTTTGCAATCCGGACCCCGGCTCGTCAAAATTTTGATCTGGAGCTTCGTCCAATGTTTATCACGAATATCATATTATTTCTAAGCATAGAACGTTGCTTTAGTTTACGATTGTCAAGCAGTATGAAAGGGAGGGTTATGGTGACGCTTGATTGTTTGTTGATAACGCGTGGCGGATTAGTTTTGAGCGATAGCGTGTAAAGATGTTCAAAGCGCTAATCACAAATGTCGTGATATTCACATCTTGTCACTACAAAATTCCGGTAAGGTTGTGGTAAGACTCAGCTTGCACAAATTTAAGCCTCCAGACATTTATTTGATCTATGTGCTTGCAGTGATGTGCAACCACACCAATCAATATAAACACGCTACATCCTCATTTATATGACTGACATGTCGAGCAACTCTTCTGAACCGCTTTTACGCATCAGTTACTATCTGTCAACGTAATTGAATCCCACGCGCAAAAAAAAAAAAACAGATTTGGAGAGAGGCGAAATGGGCAATTATAATTTTAAGAAGTGGTCATGTCCAGTTCATTCTTAGCTACTCACCGTCCTCGAAAATTATGTGCTGTCCCCTAATCCCTCTTCACCACTGTCTTGGTCAATCACAAGACTTGCTCCCCCACACACTTTTCATCTCACTCCTTCCTTTTCGCACCCACTTCTGGCGAGTTTAATCCCTTTTGTACCCACCTGTCGACCCGCCTCTCTCTCCCACAATCAGCTGACCATATAGTAATAAGTTGACATCAGAGAAGCAAATGGAGTGATCGGGACAGCTAGGAAGGTTCTATGGGCATGAAAATCTAAGTTTCAGAAGTGGATTCTGAAATAACGCCAATCCATGCGTCATAAAAGTATTGGTGGAAGTCAATTTCATGTTTTAGGCATAGGAGAATTGAGAGTTGAGAATAGATTCTTCGATTTTCTCTGGAATTGTTGCAGATGCCTTTATTTGTTTAATGCCAATTTTTTCACATTTTTTTTTCAGAAGCCAACTTTCTTTCAACGCAGTTTGCGCTCGTTTGAGGAGTGGAGGGATACTCAAGGATTGTACTCTCCCCGATAAAGAACGCCAAACCGCTATTTTGTAAATATGTGCATAGCTTGACGCCGGTGTCCTCCTCGAGCTCTAATCGATCTGATCGCTACTAGTTTATCAAGATTTATTATCTCAGGGTTTTATTAATCAAGAAGATTTCATTGTAGTCCTATCCTTGTAAAAAGCTTGATAAGCCTCTTCGTCTGCACTAATTACTTGTGTACAAATACAGTTTCAGTTATACTGCTTGCCACTTTATGTCTATTCAAAGCTCTCATTTCTGCTCGGAAAGGGAAAAAAATAATAATTGATGTAATGCTTTACAAAAAAGTCTGTGTTCCTCTACTGGCCTTGTTAATATTAGGTTGTCCTTAAAGTCATGAGAGAGATCTTCAAAATTGTTCTTGCGGCGTTAATCAATCAACTTTATATTTCAGTTCTATACATCAGTCTTATGTCATTAGTAGGGCATATCGCAGTTGTTCCGGGTGATCTTTTGGCAGCAACACTTAAAATATTTAAAGCGGTCAAATCTGTTGCTAGATCACTGGATGACTGATGTTTTGTTTCTCTGAAACGAAGCATCAATCATCCAGTGATCACGTAGCAACACCTAACAGTTGTGACCGATATAGCATCATGTCCCGTTTGAGTCTTCGCTTTCAAACTCAAAGAGTTCAAAAACATCAATGAGGAAGTTGAAATCTCTAGTGCTCATCTGTTCAATTTCCAGCTAATTCTGCAGCTGATGGCGTGTTTGAAAGTGGTTAAAACATTTATTGGTCATTCAAATGAGGCCTTAATTGGGAGCAAAAGTTCCCGTGGCACAATATTACCTGTGAAATGCGCGTTGTGGTGGATTGTGGTAAAGTAGAGCTGTTGTTATGAACCTGTAGCCACAATC